GAACTTTCGCTGCTAGAACCGGCCTGGGCCTGAAATGTTGTGAGCTGTAATCTCAGCCCACGTCACGTTCTCTCCCCGTTTCCTTTGCAAAACATCAGTGCAATCAGTCCCGCTGTTTTTCAATGAGAGGCGCTGGCGCCAAGCCTAGAGGCAGCTGCACAGGCCTTGGCCTGCCAGGGAGCGGAGACGGTGCGGGCCTGACCCAGCCCTCCCACTGCTTCCCCAGGTGGCTCCCACCCTGTGGCACTGAGGTCACAGTGTGCCAAGCAGGAGAGCGGGCTGGGTGTGCAGCCAGCTCCCACCCTGATCCTAGTCACATCGCTACCCATATGGCCCTTATTACAAGGTTACCAGGCCCTTTGGCCCCCTGATTCCTGCGGGAAGCCACAGGACCCCTTTGAGATTACAGAAACCCTGCGCAGATGAAGGCTGTTAACTGGGAGGTTCTGGAAGGGGCTCCTTCTGCCTGTCCCTCCTGCCATGGAGGGTGTCTGTCTGTCTGTCTGTCTGTCTCCTTTCTGTTCTCCCTTGACCGTTTTGTTGTTCCAACTGAGCTTCTCTTTTCCGTCATCTTTGGAGCCTGGCTCCTTGTCCTTGATGGCAGCTTCAATGTCACCCCATCCAAGAAGCCTTCCCTGACCTCCCAGGATAAAGAGGCCACTGAGCAGCTTCAGCGCACCAGCCTGTTTTAATTATCTGCGTGGCACTAATCACTAGCCAGGAGTTTGCCAATAGGTCTGCCTCTGGGACTTCTCATCCGACTTTACCTGGTAGAAGGGGAGCAGGGGTGTTGCCTGCCTCGTTCACCTTGAACAAGTACCTGGCACACAGTGGCTACTCAACAGGTAATTGTTGAAAACGTGGCGTTTCTGTACTGGCCCCACTACTTCCTTAGGTGTGTGAGCTTGAGAAAGTTACTTCACCACAGTAGGCCTTGGTTCCTTATCTTAGAAAGAGAAACAATTGTAGTACCTAATTTATGGGATGTTTAAAAGGCTTAGAGGTGATCATCCTTTTTAATTTTTTTTACTTATTGATTTTAGGGACAGAGAAACATCGACTTGTTGTTTTACTTATGAATGCATTCATTGTTGATTCTTGTATGTACCCTGTCTGAGGATCGAACCTGAAACTTTGGTGTATCAGGATGATGCTCTAACCAACTGAGCTGCCCGGCCCAGGCCGCTAATCCTCGTACAGTCGTAGCAGAGCGCCTGGCACAGAGCGAGCCCTCAACAAACATCAGCCATAATTGCTGTGGATACATGACCCATTAGCACTTGGTCACCTCCCAATATGCACAAGTTTCCCAGATCCCCTGGGTCCTGAGAGAATGGAGAGTCTGACGGTGGAGAAGGACAGGCATTGGGGGGGTGGGGGCGGGCACAGTGGGCGAGGGCACCAGAAGGAAGAAAAAGAAAAGCTCCCGGAACCCGGCTGGGGAAGTAGCACCATCTCTTTCTCAAATAAGAACTACTTCTTTCAGAAGGGTTCTTTCCCTCGCTCTTCCCCTTCTCCTCCTGTCCCTGCCAAACCCACAGGATGGAGCCAGGTCCCAAATCTGTCACTGGGCAACAGAGGCCAGAGGTCAGAGTGATGCTCCAAAACCAGGGCAGCTCAGCGCCCCAACCTGAGCTGTTCCACTGCCTTGCCAGAGACTAGAAGACAAATGACAATTCGCTTCTAGTTGTGCTACCTTAAAGTAAGGCAGGAAAAAATGTCTGAGAAGTCCCACTACTTAACCTTGAGCATGAGAAGAAGAGGAGAAAGGGTCTCCTCGTATTTGTGACCACAGTTCAGCCAGGCACAAGCCTGTGACACTGTTAACACCTTACGCACCATGGAAACAAAGCCACTGTGCCCTGCGACTTGGCATTTCCTAGAAGATGGTTTACCCAGCTACCCAAAGGGAATGGGAACACCAATTTTAACAAGCAAAATAGATGGTGTGCTCCTCCAGACTAGAAATTCTCTCGTACCCTTGCCCCATACCCCACCCCAGCAGAGAGGGCACTGCCATCTTCTCTCCTTCCCAAACCAGCCAGCTGCTCTGAACCTCCCGGCAAGACCTAGCTGACACACTGAGGTTCTGATCCACGCCCGGCATTTCACTGCACAGGTGTGGGCTCTTGTAGGGATTCCCAAAGCCCAGCACTTGTCCTTTGTTACTGCTAGGGCAGAGGCTGTGTTGAGTAATAATACTAAGTCTCCAGATCAATCTGACTTCCTCATCAAGTTGTGATTTGATCAAGATGATCTTACTTTGCAGGCACCATGGGATGTCCTCCCCCCAACCTGGAGATGATCAACTCCTGCTGGATGAACAATTCTCTACCTACCAACAGAGGGGAGAGGAGAAATCTGGGGACCTCAAAAGTTCTCAGAGCTCAGTCCACCACGGCACCAAGAGGCCTCCAGAGTCGCTGTACAAAACACTCCTCCACATTTCAGATACTCTAGCACTGGCAGGAAAAGATGCAGAAGTTTGTCAGCACTTCCTTGGGTTCCCTCATAAACCAAACACCAGGATTTGGGTGCAAGTGTTTATTTGGAGGTGACCAGAACACAGTGACAGAGTTGGAAATCGAGCCAGGGAAGGGAGGCAAGCCAATTAGGAGGCATAAACGAGAAACATACCACTGCAGATAGCGGGGGCTCCATCTGGGACCCTATACTGTGTAGAACCCACTTCAGTTCTACACAGTATAGGACATTTACCCGCCAACTCCTGTCCCTTACTGACTGAGGGTTGTTCCTGGGGTGTTAGCTCCCAGCACTGCCCCCTGCAAGCACTGGCAGAGAACGTTCTCAGGCAGAGAGCTCAGAATGCCATTGGGCCTACACAGGACTTGCCCATGGGTAATGTTCAAGGTGAGCCAAGGAGATTTCAGCTGGGCTGGGCAACTCCTATATCGGGCTTTCTAATGACTAGTAGTGAGCTTCTTAGAGCAATGCCCCATGGGTAAAAGCGTTGTAGAACATCTATTCAAACTTGTCTGAACTTCCCAGAAATCCTTTCAACAACCTTTAAATAGACATGGTTACATAAATCAGCCTCTCTACATGATTTCTTTGAAAGAAAGATTCATGGACATGAAGCAAAGCTTTTCCCAGTAGTAGCCCAAGTTCTTGCTCCCTGGAATCATAATCAGGACCCACAGAGTCCTGAGTAGAAGCTTTGGGAGGAGGTCCAATCCCACCAGTTTTCCATTAAGCCCAAGCAGGAAAAGAGATAGGGTAGCCTGCTTTGCACAGTTTTGAAGTCAAGATTAAAGGCACAGCAGGGAGGCACACACCCTTTCCCCAACTGTGGGGGATAGTGAGCTCAGGAACTGGTAGAATAAACTGGATCCTAATGAGAAAAAATAATCTCTCCTCCCAAGTGCCCCTCCACCCACTGATCCGGACAAGCCTACTCTCGAGAGCCTGGGGCAGGAACATGCTCACTTTGAACAACAAAACCATATCAGAAAGAATTTTCCTGGAAGTCAGCCATGGAAAAATTCACCCAACTACCATTCGATACCTGGACCCACAGAGCTCCCACCCCCCTCAGGCGCCATGTAACCCCTGTAGGGTATTTGGATAATATCCTGCTTCAACTAAACACCACATTGATCTTTGCCAACGAAGAAGAATTTTCCACAGCCATTACTGACTCTGTTACATTTTCCGAAGTGGCAGGTGATTGGGTATGGGGGGTTCCAAGAAAAATGGAAAAGTCTCCTTATTCCTGGTCTGGGGCCCAAGTATAGGGTCAGCTCTTTATCAAAGAGACACGAGAAGGTCAAAGAATTTTCTGCAACTTACAGCCTAGAACAGAAGTGTTGGCAATCAGCTAATCCACATGATGATGAGTCACAGGATGGACTACGAGGCAGCCAGGAGTCCTGTGTTCTGGTTGACTGTCTTCTAGCCAATTTTGTGACCTCAAATGATGAATCAGTTGATGGATCTAGACCTGGAAAGTGATAGTCAGAGACAGCAAGTAGAGTCAGCTCCTAGAACCGTGCCCCTGCCCCTAAAATGGACTCAGAAACTAAACCAGTGCACTTTTCCCAGGACAGTGAGTGCTATTCATGCAACAGGCTCACCACAATGGTTGGTGGCTGAATGACTCCATGTGGCAAACATGTCCTCACTCCTGACTTTTGCACCCTCAGCCAACACCGCCAATCAGCTGTGATGGATTTTCATGCGAAACTGGATGCAGTGTTGAAACTGCTCAGCGTCACTCTGCAGACAGACACAGCCAGTCTGCCGGCCCTCCTCTGTGAAAAACCTATCGTGCCCTGATGAACTCATGGATTTTTTCACATTTAACTCTTGTAGTAAGGAAAATACTAAAGGGTATACAATTTGCCACTCAGAGAAGATAGATATAAACATGACTGAATGTTTTAATCTAGTCTGCATAAGAGTCCAGATTGCTATCGTTCAGTCCAGGGCACAAGATGCACTTGACTGGTGAAGACCCCATAGGATCAGGCAGACAAACACATACTTCTGGATCCCTGAGTAGGACATCGAGTTTCTCATCCTGACCACGGAGATGAGAAAATGGCAGCCCACGCCTGCCATTAGACACCTCTGAGTAGCAATAACTAGAATCATCCAGTGTCTGGGATCTGGTTCATCATCTGCATGTCATACTCTCCCACCAGCTTCACACAGGTGAAACACTGTGTTCAAGTTCTCGAGAGAAACAGAATTAATAGGAGGTTGTATAGAGAGAAAGATTTCTGATACGGAACTGGTTTGTGTGACTACGGAGCCTGAGAAGTCCAGGGGCCTGCGTCTGCAAGCTGGAGACCCAGGAGAGCATTTCATGCTGTTTAGGAACCCGAGAGCTGTGGAGGCTGTGGTGTGGACTCCAGTCAGTCTTTGAAGGCCTGAGCACCAGGAGCACCAAGGGCCAAAGAAGATGGATGTTTCAGCTCAAACAGGCAGGCAAAGAGGGAGAGAGAACACACCGACTCCTCCTGCCTCCACCGATTTGTTCTGGGCCCTCAATGGACTGCGTGATGCTCGTCTGCAGTGAGGACAATTCCCGTTACTCAGTCTACTGATTCAAATGCCAACCTCTTCTGGAAACACCCTCACAGACACATCCAGATCATCTATAACCAGATCTCTGGGCATCTTGAGGTCTAGTCAAAATGACACATAAAACTATCACAAATATCAAGGGTGGAAGTAAAAGGCTAAAAATCACGGAAAGACCTCAGAGAGTGAGATGGGAACAGTATATTTTCAATTACGTATGTATGTATGTATGTATGTATGTATTAGGGTGGGGGGACAGAGGAAGAGAAACATCAACATGAAAGAAATATCAATCAGTTGCCTGTCATACTTGACCCAACCAGGGACCAAACCCTCAACCGAGGCATGTACACTGACCGGGAATCAAACCACTGAACTTTTGCTTTGCAGAATGATGTCCAACCAACTGAGCCACAGTGACTGCGGCAGGAACAGTACATTTTCAATATAGACCTTTCCACGGTTTTAGTCCCCACTGCCTGAGCTGCTGGGAACACTTGTTAGCACAAATCTACGATCCCACTGGGAAGCCTGAAAGACTTTGTCTCAAGGCACAAATACTAAAGCTCACAAGGGCTTTTGTAACATCATGAAGTGCGTTCTGGCCATGCGAAACTGCTGCTGCTGCTCAAACCCAGAGCCGGTGCTGTTCTCGAAGACAGCTAAAGACTCGCATTCTTCTGCAAGGTACCCACGCGGGTAAAACCATGACTGTGACCCTTCTCTGCCACCATTTGTGGCCACTGATACTGTGCCCTTGTCTGGTGATGCACTAAAGTCTGTACTGGTTAGCACGTGCTACATTAACTATCTACTTTTCTATAAAATGGGAACAAATAAAGTGGGTCACTTTCCCACTACGTATGCAAAGCACTGAGTCTCAAAGCCAGTTTTTCCTCTGGCCCATAGCCAGTTTTCCGTATGTTTGTTGTTCATTTTTTCTTAAGGCATGAACCTGGAAAAGTAAATCTAGAAACCTCTAGGCATGAAAAGACATAGATGAAGTTTGAATTCTTAGCAAGCGACGTTAGTGTATTTGGGGGTGCAGGGGGGATCTGTGGAGGGGCCGTTGGAGATCACTGTATTTGCCCAATAGTTGCCAGGAGCTTTAACTGTCATTCATGTTGGCTTCAGTTTAAACCCCCAGGGTGATCAGTTAGTAAATCAGTGGATGTTATAAGAGCTTAGGGATCTAAGAATCAGAGAAGTTACTATGGAAGGAAGTGCAGGGACGCCCCCTCCACTGTTCCCTGCACCCTCAAGACCTGTTTTACTGGAGTAACAGAGACCAATGCCATTCTTGGGGACCTACTGGCTTAACTTGCCTAAATCTATATAAGTAAAGATACCCTTAACCAAAGAAATCTCTTTTTCAGCATCATTTTGACCACGGAAGCATTCCTGTCTATGACAGACAGAGCACATTGCCGCCGAAGCTCTTGCTCCCCTTCACAGTGTAGAGTTGTTCTTGGGAAGTGGCTGCCCAGCCAGGGACTATACAGTCAAAGAACTTGTCACAAATGCAGAGGGTCTTCAGTGAATGACCTCCCAGTCCCAGAAATCATCCCTCTTGCAAAACGAGGCCCATCGAGGAATGTGTGAGTAAAACTGGTTAAAAAGCAGACGTGCTTTCGGGCGTCACATGTCCCTCCCCACCTGCTGGCTGAGTGCAGCCGGCAGGGCAACACTCGGCGCCAAGCATGGAAGACAGCAGAGCCTCCGCCAGCCTGGACCCCTGAGTGCCTAGAGAAGGCAGTGCCGCTGCACTGTCAGGCACCCGGAAAGAAGTCCTGGGACTTCTTTAAACTGCTGGAGTTTGCTTGTTACCTCGGCTGGGCTGCTCTAGCTAACCTGCTGACCTCGACTCGCAGAGCAGGAGCCCGGGCATTGCTGTCAGGGCAAATGAGAGCACGCTGCCACCCCACATTCCATCCTGCAAGCTCCACACAGCCCCCGAGTTCCAGGTTATTTCCACAATCCCCTTGATCAATATTTGCTTTTGATTCCAGGAAGGTATTCACTCCGTAAGCTGCCACCGAACCTGAGATGGAGGGTCAGCCCACCAGAAAAGAAAGAGCTTCAGCAGTTTGGGTTTGCAGAGCCTCTGTGGTAAGGCTGCCAACTCAGCAGACACTTTTGCTTTCCTCCTTAATGTGCACCCTGAAATCCTCACATACCACCGTGTGACTCTGATCTTGTCCGAGGTGCATGCGTTCAGTTCCTTCAGGCCACAGGTGACAGGGTCTGTGACCCTCTGAGTGGCCTAAAGGTGCTGACTCCAGTACAATTTCACACATGGTCAGAAAATACATCTCCCAAACAGGCTTCGTTCTCTTCACCAGCCCTTCCTCCAAAGAATCCCTGGGCAGAATCTCAACCCAGCTTTCAGCTCATAAATTTGTGCCTTACATGTCGAGTTCTCAGGAGGCAGAAGGCCCAACACCGGTGTCATGCTATGAAACATCATGTGAGGAAACCCCTTCCTTTCTCAGCAGTCACGTCTAGAAGCTTCCTGGAGGGTCTGCTGAGCAGTTGTGGTATAATTACCTCGTAAAGGCAGCGATATACCAGAGCCCACTCCCATGTCTTGAGATAACTGATTGGCTACATCTCTTCCCAACTCCACATTCTGTGATAGCACATTGCTAGCTAGCGTCAGCTCTGGTGAAAGTATTTACACCACAGAAACTGGCACACACTACAGATCAGAGCTTTCTTATGTCCCAGAGAACTGACTGTGAACAGGAATCAGCACAACCCTGTGTGAAGAGGAAGGCTGCAGAACCACCCAGCAGACAAGAATCAATGGAATGAGTTCTGGCTGGCTGCCTCTTTTCTTCTCAGAAAGGACAGGGACATAGCACCAAGCCACAGAGCCCCGTCGGGGATGTTCAGTGACATTGTTCTGAATTTAATGAGAAAGGAGACCAAGGGACAGTGAGCTTGCATGGCAAGTAACGCACACAGTGCTGAACCACTGCAGATGCCTGGGCTCCAAAAGGGAGATTCAGCCCTGACCGATGGGGCTCAGTTTGTTGGGCACTGTTCCACAGAGTGAAAGCTCACTGGTTCAATTCCCAGTCAAGGCACACATCTGGATTGCGGGTTCAGTCCCCGGTCCAGGTGCATGCAAGAGGCAACCCATCGATCATTCTCACATTAATGTTTCTCTCCCTCTCTTTCTCCCTCCATTCCCCTCTCTCTAAATTTTTTAAAGCCAAATTCATCATTTTGGATGCCACAACATAGATCCTACCTTAGGAATCAGATCCTAATTACTTGCTCTGCCACTCACCCAGGCATGTAGCAGGTCTTCTGAGGCAGGAGGAGGAAAGGAAGAGAACTAAGCTCATTGTCAAGCTGTCAAGCTGGGTGCTGAGTATTTCACATGGGTTAATGCAGTTGACCTTCACATAGCCCAATGCCTTAGGTATTAGTATACCCACTTTTCAAAGGAGGGAAATGAGGCTCCAAGAGGTCAGAACCGTACCTTGCAGGAGGTCACACAGTGATAAGGGTCTGGGTGTGAATCTGGGTGTGTCTGACTCAAATGTCTACAGTATTTTCATCACCCCACATTGCCAACAAACCCTGTGTTATTTACCTGAGGAACCGCTATAAAAGCAGCAGCACCTGCTTCCTGGGAAATGCAATGACAAATCTGTGTTTTTCTAATAGCAGCTTCATTGTGATATAATGCTCATACCATGAAATTTACCTTTTAAAGTGCTGAATTTTTAATCCAGTCACGGAGTTGTGCAACCATTACCACTATCTAATTCCAGCACATTTTCAGTACCCCGCTCATCACTGAGCGGTCAGTGATGCCCCGTCCCCTCCTACTGCAGCCCCTGGCAGTCACTAAACACTCTCCGTCACTGTGGATTTGCCTGTTCGGGACAGTTCATGTGCCGAAATCACACAATGTGGGGCCTTTCGTGCCTGTCTTCTTTTTTGTCCAGCAACGTAGGATAATGTTGGCAGAACTGTTTTAAAGTTCATGGCATTCTGCAGATAAAATCCAGTGAGTTGAAAGGCAAACCTATGCAGCTTTTATTCAAATGCCAGTAAGCAACAGAAGCAAAGCAAAGAACATGAAGAATTGGCATCAACATGGTTTTTAATTCAATTCTACTATATTTATTGTCTATTATATGCCAGCCACAAAACAGAAAAATCCAAGCTCTCGCAGACCTGACACTATGGGGGGAAGAAACAGACGGTGCAACAGCAGTAGCAGTTGTAGCAGTAGCAGTTGCAGTAGTTAGAAATGGCACATTAGAATACCTAGGGTCAAATATATGGTGACGGAAGGTGACTTTGGGTGGTGGGCACACAATGCAATATGAAGATCATGTATCACAGAAATGTACACCTGAAACCTATATAATCTTATTAACCAATATCACCCCAATAAATTTAATTTAAAAAAATTTTTAAAGACTATCTTAATTACTGTGTGTTAAAAAGATAAGAGCAGTTTGGGGGGAGCATGGATGCTGAAGGCATTTGAGCAGCCTCCAGAATGCATTCCTTATTTCTCTCTCGTGCACACACACACACACACACACACAAGTGCCTTGCCGCGACTCAGGTGGTGCTGTCCTAACGCCGTCTGTGTTTCCAGCTACGTGACAACAGCAGGTACCCCCAAGTCCCCGTGCCGCTGTGTGCCTCTGAAGGTGAGTAGGCATCTTTCCCACCATGGGTAACAGACCAGCTGGCAGGAACCCTCCCTTGATCTGTGACAGTCCATCCTCCCCCAGGCCAGGCTCCCTTACTCTCTGAAACCCTGCGCTCAGAAGAAGAGGGGGAAGAAGTTCCTGCTCCCCTCATCTTTTCTTGCCAGAGCAGCAGTGAAGAGGCCATCACCGCAGCCAAAGGCAGAAGTGTGCGCTGCACCCTCCCCAGGCCCCCTCACTCTCAGCCACATCCCAGGCCTTTATCAAAGGTCTGCAGGGGTTCTTGCCAAATGTTCCCAGGCATAATGTTCGCCTTGACGTGAAACTCCCTGGAGCCCGGTGAAGCTTCCCCTAGCCTCCACATTCTGCCATTTCACAAATTCATCATCTATTCCAGCTCTCCAGTTGTTGTAGGTGCTGTTCCTAAAACACACTTTTTAATCCCGTATTTATTCTTATAAACATAATCAGAAACATTCCAGCTTTTCCTCTCAGGGAACTTCGCACCTCCACCACCACCAAGAGCCCTCGGGCTGTAAGAGCCTGCACCTCTGACTGTGGATGGGGCCGAAAGACATCCTGCTTTTCTTCCACCAGAAACAGGCTGCTTCTTCCACCAGCAGTGCATACTGCTGTACATATAGTTAATCCTGATTTTAAAACAGCTTCTCATTATTATAAAAGTACTACACGTCATTGAGGGAAAATGAAAAAAACAAAGGAGAAAAGCAGAGTCACTCCGTCCTGGGCAGTGCCTAAGGTGGCCCCCAGAGATCCTTCCTCCTCGTACTCACGTCCCTGTGAAATGCCCTCCCCTCACCTGTGGGCTGGACCCAGTGACTCACTTCTAATGAAAAGAATACAGAAAAAGTCAGGGGTATCACTTCTGCGGTCAGGTGTGCAGAAAACAATCAACGTAGCAGGCCTGAGACTGTTATCCTTAGAAAGGCTGCTTGCGAGGTCCATGACTAGCATCCGGGAACTTGGAGTTCAGGGGGAAAGGTCCCCACCAGAGACCCTGGTGAGAAGAAGCTCAATGCCGGAGGGGGCCTGTGTGACCAGGCCCCGGGCACTGAGCCTCTCCAAGGGTCTCTGGTAGACAATGTGTCCCACGAGCTGTCACAACTCACTGCTGGGGGAATGCAGCGTGTCGTGAGACTCCACCGGGAGAGGACGCTTGGGCACTTGGGCCTGGTTTCCTCCAGACTCAGCCTCCTGCACGTTTTCCCTTTTCTGGCCATGCTTGGTATCCTCCTGCCACCAAAAATCACAATTGGATAGCCATGACCACACAGAATAAGACAGTGTGCTGAGTCCTACCCAACCTGGGGCCGGGTCTCGGGGGTCCCTAACACCCCCCACACATTAGGCTATCAAAACAGTATGACCTCTCTCTCTCCACCTCTGCAGCGCCCCCACCACCACAGCTGATCGCTGCGATGACTGACAGCCTGCGTGCCGCCTGGTGAGAGACGCTGACCCAGAGGACCTGCGCTAGGTCCCTAACCTAGAAAAATGTCGAGATAATAAACATCTGTCACTTTAAGCTGCTAAGTTGTAGGGTATTTTGTTACACAGCAACAGATAACTAACATATCCTTCACCTAGAGATCACTACTGTTTATATTTTAGGATGTACTTTTTCAAAGGTTTTTCTACACCCATATATACGTACAATAAGTGTTCCAGTTAAAAGTGAATTTTTTAAAAACACTCTATAAAGTCAAGGCATGGGGCAGAAGTATAGCATTTCCCTTCATGACTAAAGAAATTCTTGCATTGCACAATGATAGCTGGTATTTCTTTTTAAGTCAAATTGTCCTTTGTTCTGGAAAGTAAGGGGAGTGGGAGGAAAGGTCTCTTGAGTGGCCCTTTGGTCACGCAATCTTAAGATGCTGTTCAGAAATGGGGAGGTTTCAGACATTAAGTTAAATCACTCGGCATAATAATGTAAATGTTGTTATCCTTCGTGTGGGTGGAATTAATTTCTACAAATTATGTTTCCTTTTAGGAAATCAGTTTTCCTCTCTGCAGTGGGATTGACAGCAAGGGCTCCTGGGAGGAAAGATAAGCTTAAAAACACCCTTGAGAGGGGAGCGATAAGCCAGTCCTTGCAAAACGGTGCTGGAGGGAAACAACAAATAGAAAAAAGCGGCCTGGGCGGGCCGCTTCGAGCCTGAGGGTTCTGGGAGCAAACACATCCGGTACCCAATTCTAAGTTCGTTCTTTCCCCCCCGTGCGTTACGCCCAAGCACTCAGGGAAGTTTTATTAATCATCACAGCTCCGTCTTAAGCTGTGTTTGGGGAACCGAGGGAACCAATTGCTGTCCATGTTTCTGCAAAGCTTCAGGAACCAACAGCCTCGAAAAGCTGGCTTCCAGAGGTGACCGGCCAAGGAGTGAAGGGCCAGGGTAAGGTGATGAGAGACAGGGGAGGGGAAACTTCTAGAAGAAAAAACCTCTTTGTAATCAAGCTGGATGGGGGATGGAGCCGCTGGGTGTGACTATTAAAGGCAAGCGTAGCCTTTTGAGGCTAGAGTAAGCTGAAAAGTCAGTGGCACACATCTTTGTCGATAATAAATTGCAAGGAAACTGAAAATACTACTTACAGCCTACTTAATTCACTTAGCAATATGTTGTGTCTTAAATTTTTTCTACAATGCAGTTAGTACTGGCAACTCAATATCCCATCATATGGGAAAA